GAGAGAGAGAGAGAGAGAGAGAGAGAGAGAGAGAGAGAGAGAGAGAGAGAGAGAGAGAGAGAGAGAGAGAGAGAGAGAGAGAGAGATTTGCAACACTGGGATTCAGACCTGACATTTGAGCAGAGCCATTGTGGGGAACTATTGTTGGGATCGGTATCGACGACACTCTGGGTTGACGACATCTCCCCTCTTCTTCCCCCGCTTCGTCTCTCCTCCCTACTACTCATCCATGTATGCATCGGACCGGGCGCCCTCGTCTATGTGTACTGGCGCCAGGCCGCTCACACCGTGTGATGATGATGATGATGTTCAGTCTGTGTCACGACATTGATTGGATCTGATTGTTGGTATTTCAGTCTTCCGGTGTGCTATCATTGCTCCATCTTTGAGAGGTCGGTTCTTGGTTCTGCTCTGTGCCACTCTGGCATGCAACACAGATGAGCAAGCAGTGGTTCTGCTGTGCGCCACTCTTGGTTCATGATGTCAAGGAAGAAAGACGGTGACACATGGACCATCGCATCATGCATTGGAATCACTGAGAGAGGGACATGTCACCTGTAGAAGATAGAACCGCTGGCAGGAGCAGATGTAGCAGGCCCAGCCTTTCACCAGGGTTGATGGGGATGCCATGAGAAAGCATATGGTAGTCAGTGTTGTTGCCGCAGTTTGAATGTCTTGCAAATTATTACAGATATGTCTGATATGTTCAAATCTGGTCAATTGCCCAATGAAAACACGTCGCACTTAGTTAAAGAATGATGGGGAAGCCCGAGGCAGCCATGTTATCGAAGACCAAAAAAAAAAAAAAAAAAAACATCTGAAGCAACCCATCGGAGTGGACCCGTAGCTGCGTACCTAAGAAGGTACAGGAGCCATCTGTTATGTAGTTTCCTTCCACTCAAGGCCGTAATGCTCTGGGAGAGGTGGTGATTGTCCACATGAAAGCACATAGTCCATGAGGCGGTAAGTGAAAGCATATAGTCGAGCAGCTTGAAGATCGTGCTGACGAATGACATCAATGAAGCCCACGTCATCCCAATACAACATCCCAATGCAAATTTGTCGATTTA